CTCTCTCTCTCTCTCTCTCTCTCTCTCTCTCTCTCTCTCTCTCTCTCTCTCTCTCTCTCTCTCTCTTTCTTTCTTTCTTTTTCTCTCTCTTTCTCTCTCTTTCTTTCTTTCTGTCTCTCTCTCTCTCCCTCCCTCCCTCCTTTCCTTCCTTCCTTCTCTCTTTCTCCACCTTTAAGATTAATTAACTCATTCAACAAAAAGCATTTATTGAGAGCCCACTGTGTACCAAGCCCTGCGATACAGCAGAGAACTGAGGTACAACCCTGGTCCTTGCAGAGTGTGTTTTGGGCAGGGTAGGTGGGGAGGCAGGCTGTAAACAAATAAGTAAAACACCTGTGTGCTCTGGGAAACCAGCAGCAGGGTGGGGGCAAGGATGGCCTCTCTGAGAAAGAGGTAGGAGCTTGCCCTGCACTGCCTGGGGGACAAGCCTCCAGTGGAGAGGCTGGAGCTGGGAACAGCCTGGCCTGCTGGGCAAGGTTGGAGGAACCGGGGGGCCAGAGGCAAAAGGAGATGAGGTAGAAAGTTCTGAGCCAGGACCTTACCAGGCTGCCAGCTGGCAAGGGCTAGGCTTCCACTGTGAGTTAGGGGCCCTGGCAGGGAGAAGAGGAGAGACTGGGTCTGACTTGGGTAGCTGGGACAGCTGCAGCCTGCAGTGGAGAGGCCAGGAAGGCCAGTGAGGAGGTTTCTGGGGCCGGGGCTTGGCAGGCAGAGGAGCCACACGTGAGGCTTCCCGAGGACGCCTCGCCTTGCCTCAATCTGTCTTTAATTATGGTGTGGATAAAATCACTGCATAAAAAAGATTATGCCTAAGAATCCACACATTTTTTTGACTTTTTTTGTTTGAACGTCTATATCCAGGGAATTATGTGTGAATGTTGCTACAACCATATCCAGGAGGGTCTCTCAGGGACTGGGTCTGCTGGGAGGGGCTCCTCTGGGAGACCAGGGCTGGGAAGTGTCAGCAGGAGGGTCCTGGGGACCTCAGACCCAAGAGGTAGCAGCACCTGGGAGCAGCGATGTCCCTGGCCCCTGCAGTGCCCAGTGGGTCAGCTGTGGCTATACCAGATGGAAGGCCCTGACCTGCCCAGACTGCAGCCTCCTCCTCCCCAGGCGGGACAGGCAGGTGATGGGAGTGGGCTGGCTATAGGAAGACCCTTGGGGTCATCTGGATGAGAAGGAACATGCCTTGACAGCCTATAATGTGTGACCTCTGCCTCCAGTTTGTCTGGGTGTCCCAGAGCAACCTTTGCTGGAAAGAAGGGAAAACTCTCAGGGGATGAGGTTCTCAGCCCGAAGTTCAGGACCAGTGACGGTAAGGTCACCCTCCGGGATGTGCTCATGACCCTGGGCCCGGGTGAGCGAGTGCTTGTCACCTTGCTGAGTGCCCTGGTGGGGAGTGGGTAGAGAAGTGAAGCCCCTGCTGGGATAAGACCTAGTGGAGACAGACCCCTTGCCCCAAGCCATTGGGCCTCTGGCCGTGGCTCTGAAGCTCCCATGTCTGGAGCGCTGCCCCTCGCGTGGCTGCACCTGCTCTGACCTGGGGCTTTGGTGACTGCTGGGATAAGAGAGCCCACCGGCAGCACCCAAAGCCATGTCCTAACAGTCTGTGCAAAGCTGTGGCTCATTCCTACTTAGGTGAGGAAATTCAGCATCATCTGGACAAAGTCCCATTTTTATTTTAGCATAATTAATAACTCCCCAAGAGACTCACATCTTTCCCACCTGTGACCCAGGCCAGGAGGCAAACACTCGCCTCAGTTTCCAAGACAGACCTTCCCAGCATGGAATGTGGGGAGCCGGCCCTGAGGGAGACATGCTCGGGAACCAGGCATGGGCTCTGCCACACAGGAGTCCCCAGCTCCACAGCTGGTCTGGGTCTGAGGCCCAGAGCCACAGCTGGTCTCTCCCTGGGCAGTGCTGGAGAACGACGAGGAGATCAAGCAGCTGAACCAGGAGATCCGAGACCTGAACGCATCCAATTCGGAGATGGAGGCCGCCATGGTGCAGCTGCAGTCCCAGGTGGGAGCCCCGCGTCCTCCCTGTGGACAGTGTGGGTCACAGCATGTGTCCAGGTTGCTGTCAGGGCTGAGCTGGTAGGAGTGCAGCACCAGCACACGGGATGCTCGTGTGTGCTGGCCACCTGCCTGCCCCACCGTGGTGCTGTGCAGCCACACTGAGTGCTGGCAGACCCACTGGTGTCAATAACACTGCCAGCTTGAGTAGCTCCATTAATTGGTATTAGTTCCACCAGCATGAGTCATCCTGTCAGGGCTCATGGTCCTGTTGGTGTCACTGGTCCTACTGGTGCTGGAGGTCCCATTAGTGTGCCGCCTGAGAGCCTGGTCCTGGGCCGTGCCACCCCACATGGCCGCAGCTGAGTGACCTGGAAGACCTCTTGGCTTATTTGTTCCTCAATTTCCTCGTGGGCAGAATGGAGATAAGAACAGGGTCCCATCCCTGTGGTCGTAGTTTCTATGAGGGAAGCATTGGGGCAGCATCAGGGTGGTGGCGGTTGCTGGGTGATAGGATTACAAATAACTTTAAATGTATGTGTCATATTTCTCCAATTTCACTAAAATGAGAATATGTAATCAGAAAAAAAGCAGTAAAGATCTTATTTTGAACATAAGAACATGCCCCACCCTCTGGCTGTTGAGTGGGGGCTGGAGCAGAGCTGGTGGTAGCAGGGGGAGTGGCCCCACATAGCTGTGTCCCCTGCGGCTGGAGGGAAAGAGGAACAGGAGGCATCCAGCCCCCCAGGGAGTGCAGGTGAGCCCCTTCCTGGGCAGGGCCCCTTCCAGAGGCTGCAGAAGACACAGTGCTGCTCCTCTCTCCACGGGCAGATGGGCTCGCACTGGCCACTTGCTCAAGAGCCTGTGTACAAACAGCATTGACTTGTAGAATGAGGAAGGGCCTCCATTCTGCTGTGCACATGTCCAGGTGGCATCCCCCATGCTTACAGGGAGGAGGGACAGGGACCTCCTGGCTGGGACCTTCTGTCTCCTGTTGGTGACTCTGACAGCTCTGTGTGGATGTCACTCGTACATTCTGCTCCTTACTTTCTCAGAGTCCCAAGGGCCCTGGTCAGTGTCAGTGTTCTTGGGGCAGCACCTTGGATTTCTCTTTATTTGCCCAAACCCATCCTTTTAAAGATAGGCTGCTACTTTTCACTAGGCTCGCTTTGGAAGGACTTGGAAGCTCCCTATCCTTTTGAGGGAGTTTGTAAGTCTATGGAAGGGCAAAGGCAAAGAGGAGGCAGGTCCCTATCTCCATGCAACCTTTTTAAAGCCACATGCTTGTCACCAGGTGACAGTGGAGTGTGCTGGGCCCCAGCCTCTGCCTCCTAAAAGGCAGCTCCCCATTCCTACCCAGTGGGCCCCATAGTTGTCTCCGCATGAGCTCCGCCTCTGCTGCCAGGGCTATCCCTCAACACTAAAGTCCTCGGGGCGACATAACTGTGTGCAGGTTCTGGCCAGGGTGGGAAAGATTAGAAAACTTTCCCATGCTCAGCCTGGAGGAGACAAGGCCCTGGGAGGCAGCTTATTGGTCTTTTTGGTGAGGGGAAGCCCCAAAGGCAACCTGATGCCCCACGAGGTGAGTGTAGCTATTCCTGTCATAGAGGCAGGAGAAAAAAGCACGGTGAAGGTAAGCACACAGCTGTGGTGGGCTGAGGCAGAGCCCGGAGTGCTGTGGTGTCTCTGCTCTCGCCCACCCTCAGGGCAGATGGGGCACAGAGAGTATGGCCACGCACAGCCCTGGCTCGGTCATGTCTTCCCTGGGCCAGGCTGTGTTTCCAGAGGGCCTGAGCCTCTGTCCCCCACATGGCTCTGCGCCCAGTGCACTACGGCAGAACGCGTCCCATCTCTCTCTGGCACAGATCTCCTCCATGGAGAAGAACCTGAAGAACATTGAGGAGGAGAACAAGCTCATCGAGGAGCAGAACGAAGCCCTGTTTCTGGAGCTGTCCGGCCTGAGCCAGGCCCTTATCCAAAGTCTTGCCAATATCCGCCTTCCACACATGGTAGGCATCTTGTGGGCCTGCGGGCACCATGGCTAATCTGGCATCTGCCCCCAGGGACTCCTCAGCAGTCATGAAGGGGGGTGCCTCCCCCTCTGCCTTGGGGTCCTGCTGGAAGCTTCCATGCCCTTTGCTGGGATTCTCTCTGCTCCCGCTGGCCCAGGCAAGCTGCTGGCCATGGTGGCTTCAGCCCTCCCGAACAGCTTATGAATCCAAAGTAAAATGGTGTTCTGGTAGCATGGGTCTGTTGCCAGGATCGCTGCAGACAGGAATGCTCATGGTTGCTGAACTGGTCTGAGTGGGCATGCCTCGGGTCGTGTGGGGACATAGGTTTGAAGTTCCCCAGCAGTTTTTGCCTTGTGGGGCCACTGCACAGATAGGGCTTGCTAATCTGGTTCTGTTCTCTAGGAGCCAATATGTGAACAGAATTTCGACGCCTATGTGAGCACCCTCACTGACATGTACTCCAACCAGGAGTGCTACCAGAATCCTGAGAACAAGGACCTCCTGGAGAGCATCAAGCAGGCCGTGAGGGGCATCCAGGTCTAGGCCGCGGTGTCCCGAGGAGCGCCCCGAGTGGCTCTGTCCTTTACCTCCTCGCCCTGCTGCTCGCAGGGGCATTCCTAGTCACAGGGACTTCTCGTCAGCGGCCCGTTTTGCCTCGGGTGGGCTCATCCAAAGGGGTGCCTGTCATGGCGCCCCCACTGGGCTCGGGCCACGACCTCCCCCTGCTCATGCTCGGGGGCACTGAAGTATTACAAAGTGATTTATTTTTGTTTTCTGAAAGAAATCTGAAGAGCAGCTCAAAGTCTCCAGTGGAAGCTCATGGACAAGGTTCTCAGGGAAGTTTAGGAGTTTGTGGCCAACTGCTCCCTGTCTGTCGAGGCTGGGAGGGTGGCGTGGCAGCTGGGTGGTGCAGGGGTGCCGTGTCTCAGTCTGGAGGATGTGCCTGGGGCGCGTGTCTGTGCTCAGCGAGGGCTCGTGTGGCAAGTGTGTTTTCTGTTTCCATTTAGTTCATTTTGTGTTAAGGGTGCTCCAGAGGGAAGTTAGGAACAGGCCTTGCAGACGATCACTCCAGGCAGCTGGAAAGCATTGCAGCGCACAGTCAGCTCAAGGAATTTTAACCGGGGACGCCCCTGAAAATCAGCCTCACGCCTGGGTCATCTGGCCCTAAGGCTGTGCAGATGAGTGTGGCCTCGGGTCACGGCTGCCCCCAGGATGCAGCCTTCAGTCTCGGGTCTGGGCTCCAAGCCTGGGGATCACCTGGCCAGGCCTTGGGCTTGTGTGTCCACCACCTGGCCCCTGACCTGTCACTGCCACATTGCCCCGTCACAGCTGGGCTCCATCTCTGTATTCAAGTTGACGAAGGTGGGGACAGCGTCATTGAAGTCGGGGTAAATCCCTAACAGGAGACCACCAACATTTCACTCTCTTTTAGATGCATTCAAGATGTGAAAAAGGTAAATTTTAATTCAATGTGTTAAAAACACAAAGTTACTGCTGTGTAAATAGAGTCCAAGTCGATTGTGACTGCAGTTCCGAGTCAGTGTTTTGAGGTAGAGAAGTTGCACTTCCTGGAAGAATTAAAATGTAGTGAGTTTAATTATCCTGTAAATTATTTAATTTGTCAAGATGTAAGTATTTATATTCACAATCTCTTACGTCAACGTTTGCTATTTATTTAATGTTTTTATTTATTGATTTTATACTATTTCAACTAGACCCCACACCAGGGCACTACAGAGGGAAATAAGTTAGATCAAAGGAAAAATAACTGCTTGACTATGAGACAGGCCACACACAAAAATCCTGATATAACTTCTAGTTATAATTTTGATGCAACCAAGTTATTTTTATATATTTTGTTATTTATTCTTTTAATAATGGAATTTTTAAAAAAGTATTTTGTAACTGAGGAATTTTGATAATTTGGGGATTTTTTTTTCCCTTGGTCCAATGGAGAGAAAGATGTTTTGTTTTTTTTCCCCCTTTTGGGTTCCTTTTGTTTCAGGCACAGATAAAGCAAATGGAATTCTGTATTTATTATTATTTATGCGTAGCGCAGACGTGTGTGCTCTGGTGTGTTTCTTGTGTCGCGTGTGTATGTCGGTCCTGATGGCTGAGTTGTGTTGCTGTGAGGGGTACTGGCCATGGTCAACCCCGCATAGTCACCCGCTCACAGGCTGCGCTATGTCCCCTGATGGCTCCGATACTGTGACCCTCCTTCCTCAGGAAACGCGTTGAACCCACAGCACTCATGGTGTGTTTGCAGGGTGATTTCCTAATAAAAGTCCACTCTGACTGAGTTGATGCCGTGGTCTGTGGGGGGACGTCGTCTCTGCTCCTGCTGAACTCCCCACTTGCCCTCCTGGGTGTGTGTGGTGGGCGAGTCAGGGTGGGAGAGGGGCTCTTCCATCCCTGGTCTCTCCCTTATACCACACACGGGGCCCTCCTGACATCAACTTGGCCAACATCTCCTTTGGACCCCCTTCCCCTGAGGTGAGGTTTTAGAAGGTCTGAGTCACTGTGCCCTACCCCTTCCCACAGGACCAGGCGTGTACAAATTGGAGTGCTCTCCAGGAGTTTTCTCTTAGGATCAGAGAGAAAGTCTTCCTTCTGGAGTTGTTAGATGGGGGTGGGTATGGAATTGAGGCTGCTTGAGCTGTCTCTCCTGGCTGCAGGGAGGAAGCCATCTGTAATGGGACAGAGTTCAGACATTCTGGAGGATGACAAAGCTGAGACATGGAAGCGGAGGGGAGGAAGAGAGAGCTCTCTGCTGACCTCTCCAAAGCTCCTGGACCCAGCCGTGCCTGAGGGCAGTCCACCCTTGGACTTCTGGCTACGTGAGGCGGTGGGTGCTTTTCCCACCCCTGCAGGTGCTGGCTTTTGGCCATGCAGTGGCACCTCCCTTCTGCATCTCCACACTTTCCTGTCAGGTGGAGCTCCAGCCCTCCCAGGCGAGACTTGGATTTGGGGCTTCTAATCCCATTCAACCTCAACTGTCAACATGCTTTCGATCTCCTTGGGAATATAGCCTGGAGATAGACCTGGAGCTCACACCTGACACACAAAGGTTCATCTCCACTAGCACATTCTTGGGAATTCTGGGCCTCTGTTCCAGTTAACAAGGTCCAGGACACCTGAGGGCACTGGGTGTGTCTGGAGGTCTCCAACCGCACTCTAGTGGGTCACACAGAACCTGTGCAGACATGAGGAAGGGCTCCTGAGAGTCCCCTGTGCTGAGGCCCCACTGGTGACGGGGAGCTGTGGCTTAGGTTGTACCCTCCACATCAGTATGGCAGATGCTGGGCTGGGGGCCGGTGTCCCCCCTGCAAGATGAGGTGAAGGCATTCTGGGGGGCATGAGAGTTGGCTGGAGAGGTGGGGACTATGACACCCTTGCAGGGGGCACAGAGAGAAGAAAGAGCTGCCAGGACCCCACCCTGGCTGCCTGGTGGCTGGTGAGGAGCAGAGACCAGGACTGTGTGCATCTCAATGCCTGTTCCCACAAGAGCGTCCAGATGGGGCTTGGATCATCAGCGCCACCCCATCCCCTGCACAGAGACTTTGCTCTTCTCTCTTGAAGGTTTGTCTGGCCTCTTGTCCATCCTAACCTTGAAACACTGCACTTCAGAGAAGCCTGCCTACCCCAGGCTGATCAAACCAGAACCTCTCCCCAGTGACACGTGGGCATAAATGCAGGACTTATTTTAAAAGCTTCCAGATAACTAAAGAGCAGCAATGCTGAGAGCCACCGATGCTCGTGAAAGCGACTTGTTGGGTGCTCGTATTCTTGGCAGACGCTGGTCTTCAGTCTGGTTTCATCCTTAGTGAGCTTTGTTGCCTCTCGTCTCTGTGGAGCTCCTGGTTGGTCTGAAGAACAATGAGCCTCGCATGGTGACTCGAGGGCCCTGGAGGTCAGCATCAGAGCCATGGTGGGTGTACAGATGGAGGGGGCACCGAGGAGCTTTGGAAGTGGGGACGGGGTATGAGGCCACATCCCAGCAAAGACCTCTGCTCATAATCAGGGGACTGGTGGGCAACCGAGGGACAAGTAGCACCGGGTCACGGTCGGTTCCAAATCGAGCCTGGCCTGACCCTGAGCCAGGCTGCCTCAGCCCTGCCCTCACAGCTACCCAACTAGAGCAGCTGGGACTGTGGGGGCAGGGCTCTCCGTTCCCCTTCCTGAGGAGGAGGAGGGGTGGGGTCTCTCAAGGCCTCTGAAGGAGGTGTGTTTGGGATGCGGCTGGTGACGCTGAGCAGAGGGAGTTCCTGGAGAGGGAATAGCATGCATAGGAGCTGGGGCGGAGGACCTTTGACTTTAAAGAAGCACAGATAATAAGGGACTACTTTGGTCCTATAAGACCTTTAGGTTTTCCAAACTCTGTTCCCCCAACTCTAGGATTCTGAGGAGCTGGGAGCCTGGTCTTGGGGTCCCAGGGCCTCAGCATCTTTCAAATAGAAGTGCTTGGCTTCCATTCACCACGATATCCTGGGCTTCTGAGGGTGAGTCCTACGTGGCTCTGCAGAGCAGAAACACACGGCAGCCCCTCCAGCCTTGGGAAGGTGGGATGTGTGGCCATTACCATGATGCTAGAGAGCTGCCCAATCCCACAGTTTGACAATGGCATGAACTGGTCGCCCCCCAAAAGATATTCTCCACTTCTGCTTGGAGGGGCTGGCTGGGCCACCAGCCTGCTGGGAGCTCGGGTTCTTAGAGTCACAGGCACATGCTCTCTTAAGATTTATTTTTGGTTTGGGATCCCCACCTGCAGCTGGCTTTCTATCCCAGCTTGCAGACCCTTTCTTTTCCCCTCCTTAGAGGATAAAGCTCAAGGCTTTGTCTGGAGGGAGGGGAGTGTGTGCCCAGGGGTTGCTGGCTCTCAGAGTCGGGGCAGGTGTCTGGGGGTTTCTGGCTTCAGAAACACTTCCCACTTGTTGTCTTTGTTTCAGCCCTTTCCCCAGCTCCAGCAGAACCTGGTGCTGCTGTTTCCTGAGGGTTCTGGGTGTGGACTGTGTTGATTCTGAGCTCCCTATACTCCGTCTAGAATTCAGCACTGGGATTTCTTGGGTCACTTGTGTCACATCTGTGAGTTTTCTGTCTTCTCAATTGCACCATTGCTTCCTCTTGCCCCTCCCTGTCCCTGACAACTTATGCCTCAAAAGCCATCATTTAAGCTATGTTTTGAGAGAGAACCAAGGCAGATCCATGTGTGCACCTGCTTTCCTTACCAGCTGACAAGCACGTAACGTCCTGTGCAGTTGAGAGGCCAGCTTGGTGCTGGGGCGACATCACACCATGATTAAGAGGAGCCTCAAGTTCAGGTGAGGCTTTCTTCCATTAACCATGTGTCTTCCTGAAGTTAGTGGCCCCTTAGAGGCTGCTACAGGTGTGGGTGAGGAGGTTTCCTAATTGGCAGGCCATTATTTGCATTTCAGCCTCCGAAAAGGGCAGGCGTTTGATGTGAAGGAAGAATGGATGGTCACTTGGGGTTCTGCGTAAAGCTGTGCAGGGATATGTGTATGATGGCCCAGGCTATGCCCTGACCACCATGTGGACACAGTGACTCTCCTGAGCTCCAATGGAACCCCTCTTGATAATTGGTGTGAGGGTTTGGCTGAAGTGTCTACTTGGGCTGGATCCAGCTCCTGAGGGCTGGCTATACCCCCAGCAGCCTTGTGAGCCAGTGTAAATCTCCAGGGACACACCTGGAGCCCCACAAAGTTGGAGGAGGTGGTATGGCTTTAGCCCTGCAGAGCGGTCCCCGGGCACCCACCACTCTCAGGGTGAAGGACCATGCAGGAGGGCAGGGAGCCTGTGCAGCCTTTTCCCCAGCACCCTGCCAGCGAACGCCTCTCATAAGATCTTCTCATCTCTGCTCGTGGGGCACCTTCTGCCAAATTAGACACACTTTTGTTGCCTGTTTCTTTCACACATGGTCAAAAGCATTTTCCTGGTCTTTAATTCTGTCACAGCTCTCTCTGTAGAAGCTGTCAAAATAGCAGGCAATAAACCTGGGAATGTTTTGACTAAAGATGGTGAGGGGTCACCCAAGACTAAGCAGAAGGGCTCTCAAGGTCCACCCCATTTCCCCCAGGGCCACTTCTTGGGTAGCTCAACCACAGGCTGATAATCTGAGACCCCCATCAGGCACCAAACCTAGAAGGGCTCAGTTACAGCTTCCCCAACGCCCACCCCTTGCAGAGGCCCTACCTGGCTCAGCTCTGAGCAGGTACAAGAGAGAAATAAAAGATTGACAGCCACTGAGTCTGATCCTGAGTCCTTTTTATACGCATGGCTCCTTCCACCTCTCAATCTCTTGTATGCAATCTGTAGGATTGTCCCCATCATACAGATGAGGAAACTGAGGCCCAGGATCACACAGAAGGTTGGCTGTGTGGCCAGGATTTGCCTGCTGGCCCCTGACCCCAGGGCTGGTGCCTTCAGTGCCACATGCTGCAGTGCCCCCAGGGGTCCGTCCCTTCAAGAGGAGAAGGGGGGTGCAGTCTAAGCTGGATCCCCATGGGGCAGTAAGATCCAGTAGGCATCCTAGGGTTCAGAGGAAAAGGAGTTGACATGGTCCCCAGGCCAGTGGGAAGCACAACAGGGAGAGCAGAAGCTCATGGTTGGGTTGTCCTAGCCTCAGGAAGGTTGGCAGCCATCTGGGCCACCAGTCAGGATGCCTGGAGGGGAGGCCAGGTAGAAGCCATTGCCTCCTGGTACCCTGATCATTCCCCAGGGACTGGCCAGAGACCTGAAGCCTTCTTGAAGTGGAAGCAGATTCTCCAGGCTCATCTGGAGAGTCACATATTTGCTGAAAAGAGCTACAGAGAAAGCACAGAGGGGAATGGGGTATGAGGGTGGTCAGCAGAGGCTCCCCAAGGTGACTTGCACTCTGCCTGAGGGAGGTGAGGGCCAGTCCTGTGGGTGTCTGGGGCAGGGGCAGGGACCCCAATGTGAGGCAGGAAGGATGCAGGACCAGCAGGGCTGCTCAGGGGATGAGGGTGGAGTAAAGGAATGAGGGGTGAGCCAGGCTCAGTCACTGCCAGACATTGACTGTGTGGAATGGACCAAACTCTGGGGGGTTTGGGGCAGTGGGTGACCTTGCTGATTTGTTTCCTAATTTATTGTCTGCCTAAAATCCCTGAGACCAGGGTCCTGTCACACTAATCCTGGACCTCCAGAGTCCAGAGAGGGATCTGCCCTTGTAGGCAAACAGCACATGCTGCTGAGTAGATAGAGGGAGGGGGAGTCCAGGGCCAGCCTCAAGTCACTGGGGACATCTGGGCAGGGGACCTCCACATG